TCTGCCAGATCTCTCTCTATGCATTGCTTGCTGCTGCTATTGCAGCAGCTACTTCCATGTCGCTGCTGCTCGTCTGCCCCACCACCACCCCAGCTTCCACCCTAGCTTCCACCTGTAGGCTCGGGGGGTTAGTTATCTAATCTTCACTCATCGTGCTATGTATATCTGTGGAGTGATGAGGCCCGAGCCTAGACGCCAAACTCAACTATATGCTGCTTCTAAACATGTTAAAGAAACACGTGAGTTGACTGAACTGAGGAAACATATTATCTACAAGTCATTTTACACCCTATATCAAAAGGGCATTTATTTAAAAAGATGAAATCAATGCAGCCAAGCAGAATGAAATCCACATCAAAAAGACGGATTAAACTGATCTGTAGCTCATATAGGAAATAGGTATTGACATAGATTTATTTTATATCAGCTTACTTTAATATCATACAGGAACAAATGGTAGACCCTACTTTTAATGTATTTTATATTCCAGTAAGGACGTCATTTAAAAGTTGCATTAAATGAATCATATGATCCTATTTTTTATTATGACTTGATAATTATATGTCAATGCTTGTTGTTTTTTTATGCTGCTGTAACAAAAACATTTCCCAATTTGGGATTAATAAAGTATATTTTTGCTAAATAATATTAGATTTAACAAGTTAATGCACACTGTTCTTCTTGCACTATTTATTGTTGTATTAGTTTTGATTGTTTTATGCCCTTTATATATATTAAGTTGCATTGTTGGAGCTTGGAACTTAATTTTCATCGCCATATCTACACCTCTGCATCTGTATCTGCATCATTCTTAAAGGAAGCATGTATTGCCTCATGACAACAACATATTCCAGCAAGTACATTTAAAATCACATCCTGATTCCCGCTCTGTGGATCCCATTGTCTCCTGCACCTGCTGCTGGAATCCCAAACATGTTTGATGATGACTGTAATGAGTCCATGATGAAAGAAGGTCAACTATTGTGTTGCCAAATCTAATAGTTTCCTTAATTACAGGCCAAGAAGATGTCAGTGAAGGCAACCTGCATTAATAACATGATCTGCTAAATAAACTACGCTCAGATACGATCAGATAAAAAGTGATTTACACAGTGGATTTACTCTCAGTGGTTGCTTCCGAGTATCTTGAACACCTTATTTGGAACAAATTTGGAGTAAATTGCTAAAGAAACCTCGTACATCAAGTTCTGAGTGTGTTTAAGTAACATTTGAAATTCTTTGCGTGAGTATTTCCATTAAATGTTTCTTTATTCTGGTACTCCAACACATTTTAAACGCATATAATGAATTTTAGTTTTAGTTTCTTTTCAGATTAAGATTTGCATTAAAAACATGTGATAAACGTTGACCATAAGCATCTCTTAATATTAAACCAGTGAAATAACAGTTCGAGCTGCAACAAAAAGGTTAAAATATCCATATTCAACAACAAATTTTGGAAGAAAGTCCAAAACCTCAACAGATTTTGTAACAGAACTACAACACTTAAATGCTACCTGATGCAATAATACTAACAATCTAATAATGTCATATTTATGAAAATACATCACATATGGAGGCCCTTTTTCTGCAAACCAGTACTTTTACTTTTTACTTTAAGTACTTGTTGCTGATATTACTTCAGTAAGACTTTGAATGCGTTTTTTAACATTATCTCAATACTTTTTCCACTAGTGCTGTCAGTTAACCTGAAACTCTATGTATGCTGTAATAATACTAACAGGATATTGCAGGTGACACACGATGGCAGGCTGTGATACGAGGTGTAATTTCACTTCCCTGCTTCTTTTTCCATTCAACTGTCGCACTTTATAAACCCATTTGGCCACTTAAAATATTTCGTAATTTCTAATCGGATCGACACTTGCATGTGTAGAAAAGAGCGATATACTGAGTTTATGTTCACATACCTGAGATGCAGCGGTTGTCCAAGTTGTCCAAACTTTGCTCAAGGTGTGGTGTTTGTTATTTGTTTTTTTTAAACCGGTTGGTTCATCAGAAGGCTCAGGTTGTCTCCATTTATCCGAAAGATAGGATACTATGAGAGTGAAAAGTGAGGAGTGTGTGTGTGTGAGCTGTGGTCCGGACAGAGAAAGAGAAGACTGAGGGAGGGAGAAGAGAGAGAGGAGAGAGAAGAGAGAGAGAGAGAGAGAGAGAGAGAGAGAGAGAGAGAGAGAGATAGAAGAGAGA